CTATTTAATGAAAAGTAGCTAAAATAAAATTTTTCTTTCTTGATCGAAGTAGGAATAGACTTAAAATTTTTTTCTATATTACTTGTTTTTAATGACTATACCATTTCTTCGTGAACATCGTTGACTTCAAATTTACTTTAAAAGAAATCTTCAGCATTTTTACAGAGTAGAATATCAGACATTCAACAGTATATATATATATATATGTATCTTATCTTATCTCTTTGTCTTATAGATGTATAGGTTTTGAAACAACTACGAAGACTATTCTTTATGTAATAGACATTGCTCAAAACTCATCACTGCGCAATATACAGACGCTGTTCAGTATTACGTAAAATATTTGCTCACTTATCTTAGAGATAACCGATGCTTTCAGACCGGGAAGAAAAAGATATGCAATATAAATTAACAGTTCTCGCAAATTCCATATCCTGTAAAAAGAAACGGTTATAATTAGGTCTTGATTTTTTTTTCTGAATCTGGTTTAAAAATAACTAATACTTAAACAAGATCATCATAATTTCTCATATTTTCAATTAAAACTATATTAAATATCGAAATTTATATGTATAAAATAGAAAAGACTCTCTCACTCATCACGAGATTAAGATAGTTATTAGACCTACAGACTTGAAATTTGGAATCTATGTTTCTTTTGTTGAGTAGAGATCCTCCATTAAAAACGGATTTTGCAAAAATCGACTTCTAAAGGAGGTTCTGGGGTATCATAGACAGCACATTTTCCGTTTTTGAACTACTAGAACAAACTTAAAATTTGGAATGCATGTTTGTTTCGCTGAGTAGAGATTCACCATTAACGAGTTTTGCAGAAAACGACTCACAAGGGCGAACACATGATGGATAAAATTTTTCCATTGTTGAGCCTAATTGATCTAGAGTCTTGAAATTTAAAAGGTATATATCTTAAGTTCAGTAGAAATTCACTAAGAATTGTTTAAACGAAAATTGTCTCCCAAGGAGCGTTGCGGGGGTGTTATAGACAAAAATGCATATTTTTGAACTATTAAACCCTCTATCTACTTAAAATTTGGTAAGGATGTTTCTTTTGTTGAGTAGAGATCCGCAATGAATGGGTTTTACGGAAATCGTCTCCCACAGCAGCTTAACAGATTATATTCATATATTTAACTTAAATATTATTCACATGTTGACTGGCAAATGAATCTGGGAAATACCGGGTAATTCAGCTTTATTTATCCTTTTGATTTTACTATTTTATCTGCAAAAGCATTCTTTCTATGGAGCCACATCTGCAGTTTATTTAAAATTATTCAAATATTAATTAAATTTTGATCTCATTTGTTTTTATTTTTCATGTTATATTTTTTAAATTTCCTTTGTTATAGTTTTCATTCCATCCGTCGGACAAACGAATATACCCGCTAGTAAACGTATATATATATAGCTTATTTTCTCTCCAATTATATTTTCTAATTGAATAAAATTTTAATAAATTCACTGTTTAGTAATAATTTTATTACATCGGTTATATGTATGAGATATATTACTAATTAATATCATCTGATAGAAAATCTATCATAAAATCGTTTTAGAACGTGTTAATCAAAATTATGTTATCTTGCTATTTTGTAATATCACATGCTTAAAGTAATTGTCTATGAAGATGTAGCATTTGATAAACGTAATTTGTGATTATTTATTTCCTCGGTTTATATGCCAATGAACAGCCTCCGTGTAAAGTGGTTGGAGGCTCAAAAGTCCTCCCGTTGGTGTAATGTGGAAGTTTGAAGAGTGAATCTCATAAATTGACCGAGACTCAAAATTATACCATAGTTTTTGTGTTGTTTTACAGTGCGGCATAAATCGAATTCATACTTAAATTTGAGAAAAAAATAAAAGCATCGTTTTTATATTTCCTAGAATAAAACGAAAAATAGAATAGAACGAAAATTCAAATGTAAATAATTTCAAAACAAAAATTAAGGGGAAATATGTAAATATGTTCTACAATCATTCTAAAGCAGTTTAAGGTATCCGGCTATGTTCGGAACCGTGATTTTGCAAAATCATATAAATGGGTAATATTTGTGATATTTAGTGTCACTTAGATTAGAAAATGTATATAAAATTGTTTTAAGAATAGTATTACAATAAAAAATTTAAGTACACTATTCTGACAAAAATTGACCATAGAATGACCCATTTTCAAAATATTCTCCTTTTGTGAAAAATACTTCTATTATAATAATTTTTTGTCTGTATATAGCTCAGACCTCTGTACAGAGGCTCAACAAGAATTTTTGAAATACATAACTTAGAAGTGGGTTTATCCATGTTTTACGACAACAGAGGGGAGAAATTTTAAGAAAAAAACGCCGATCATTATTTCAAATGGTTGTAACTCTAAAAATAATGTGAATTTTTCAAAGAGCATAGTTGAGTCTCTGTACAGAGGTCTGAGCTATATACAGGCAAAATATTATTATAATAGAATTTTTCACAAAAGGATAATATTTTGAAAAAAGGTTATTCTAATTTGTGCCGAAATATTGTATTTAAATAAATTGTTTTGCCAAAATGTCCTTAAAACAATTTTATACATGTATTCTAATCTAAGTGACACTAAATATCACGAAAATTATCCATTTCTTCGCCTTTTTAAAATAAAGGTTCCAAACGAAGTCGGATACCTTAAAAATTGCTAAGGTCAGACTTCCCTAAAAAATGACAGGAATTTAATATTTTCAAAGACTCCATTCGCTGAAAAGAAAATTTTTAAAACTTCCAAGTTAAGCCGAATTCTTTTAATCGACACTTTCGTGAGTCATCCAGTGCAGAAAAGATAAGAAAAATAAACTCGAATTATTCGATTTTCAATGAAATGTTCCAACAGATAATCTAGATTTAAAACACGGATAAAACGAACTCACCGTGTCATTTCTCAAACGTCTGTATCTGTCAAGACCGATAACAAAATAATAAAAAGGGATAAAAAAAAGTCATCTCATCTTAAATGGCCAAATAATATCAAAACTTTTACCGAAACCTTCGTGAAAAAAATACAAGGAAAAGAAAACTAAGAACGAAAAAACAAACTTACCGTTCGTTCTTTGCCGACTTCGGCAACAGGTGAAAAGGATTGCATCAGAGCGCCCTCTGGCATTGTACAAAAACCTTCTAGTCGTCTGTTGTTTCATCCATTCCAACGGCAGGCAAAGATGTCCGAAAACGTTGTGGCTAAAATGAACGGGGAAGCGAAAATGAACGGTCACAAACTGAGGAAGTTCCTTTCGTACGATCGCGATCTAGACCCCGAAGAACCGGAGCCTGAAAAAGTGGGTGTCCTCACTAGGGCCTACAGGGATGTGTTGCACGGGATCAAGGAAGACCCCACTCGTCAGGGGTTGCTCAAGACCCCCGAGAGGGCCGCCAAAGCATTCCTGTTTTTCACCAAAGGTTATGAACAGACGTTGCAAGGTAAAATTCCTTTCTTGTTGTTTCTATTGTGTTTAGAAAGTTTGTTTTGTTTTTCGGTGACTGGCATGTGTTTTGTTGTCTGCTTTTACCAGTGATGACGGATTTTTTTTTCTTTAAATGTGTACGATAGAGAGAGTGCAGAGTGTGTAAATTTTTAATCAGGTTTTATTTCAAAATAAACTTTGTTCTTTTAACTCAAATAACTGTTTGTTTTTTATTATTATTTTGTGTGTGTTTTAAAAGGAGAGCAGGAATTTTAATTAATCTTGTGAATGTGTTCTAGCTGTAACAGTTAGATTTTAATTAAACTGTTGTAAATTATTCTGTAAATTATTCTTGAATTTTTTTTTAATTCACAGAAGAGTGTACCCAAAAAGTTTTTTCTCGACTACTATTTTATAACTTGGTAAATGTGTGAAATTTTATAAATGCAACATTGAAATATATGCAAAATGTATAGTTTTTCTTGAAATTGAAAACGTTCTCTTTCATGCTCTAAAAAATGGGTCATATAAAAATTAAATAAGGTATCTCAAGGAAATTTTTTACAAAACGCTGCTAATATAAATAATTATGTTGTTTTTATATTTAAGTGTGAGGTTTTCGCAGCTGTTGAAAAAAATTAACTAAGGGAGAGTGTTTCTTGACCTAGCTACGACTTGCAGTAAAAAGTGTTTCAATAACAATATTATCTTTCAATTTGTAATCTAACACATTTGGTATGAACGTAAAGCAGAAGTTAAAAAGTTATAACTCAACCTTTATATTAAAATGTATAGAAAACAAGTAATATAAAAAAATAAGTCAATTCCTACTACGGTCAACAAAGAAAATTTTATTTTAGTTACTTTTTATTAAGTAATTACAATTCATATAAATATGTATATACATAGGACAGAATCACACTATTAAGTAGCAAAATAGAAACCGATTTTCCTTGCAATTTTCTATTTTCCTTTCTGTATATGCTGTTGGACTATTGTTTTTGTTTGTTACTATTTATTCATTGATTAAATTTAATTATTCCAATAAAAAAGTATAGTACAGGGATGGCGAACCAAGGGTAATGGAACGCGACACAATATTTTGGGCACGACACCGATCAAAATGGTTTCCGTTTTAGTTCAAGATAACAAAGTTTACAATGAAGTATTACGAAAAAACGCGAGTGATCGGCCGCGGTGCGTTGAGAGCACACTCTCTCTCTCTCGTTTGTAATAGTCTCAATCCTAATATAAGTTTTATTTGTCATCTAATCTCTTATAACAGACATCACATTAATGTTACTTTAATTTGAATTACGTGTATAACGAAAACATTTACTATAATTCAGTGCAAAAATGTATTTTTTCCATAGTAAATAAAGATTTTTGAGTTTTTTGTTAGTATTTAATTTTATTATTTTCCTAATAATCACGTCAAAATAATTTGATGGCAACTCAATACCTCACTAAGCATTTCTTCAGAAAAAAGTGTCACTCTGATCCAAAAAGCCACCCCTGATATAGTACAAAGAAGTCACATGCTCAGAAATGGGCCATTCCAGGTGAGACTCGAACCCACGACCTTTGCAGTAGAAGTCCAACGCGCTACCCATTGCGCTACAGGAACACAACGAATGATTTCCTTTCTATCATTGTTGTTGGACTATTATTTTTGTTTGTTACTATTTATTTATTTTTTAATTTAAAAAAATGTATTTGAACTTGAATGGATGAATAAAGTATTTCATTAACGATTGAAAATTTGAAAAGGATATATTATAGGGGGAAAATTGAACTATAACAGTAGGAATTGAAAAATAAGACCAAGAAATAAATAAGAATTTTAAAAAGTACGGATACTAGTGTTCATTATGGGGTGGGGGTGAACGTATTAATTGTTTGAAGAGGGCATACGTAATTAGTCAAAAAGTGAGCCCTTTCTTCCAACAAAATTAAATGTACTAAAATATTTTCTTCTTTTTTTTTTAGTTTAAAAAATCGTAACATTTACCTTATGTGTAAAAAATATTTTAAATAGAGTAATTTTTTTTACAAAAAAATTCAACAATCCTTATTTAAAGAGATTTAACTCGAAGAAGGGTGTTTTTAAAAATAGTTATTAGCATTATTTAATAATAAAATGACATAAAGATTTTATTTTCTTACAGGAAATGTAATGCTTTAGCTGAAAAATACATAGAAGTTTTTTTTTACTGCAACCATTAGACTTTTCCACCATTTTTCTTACAACTATATATGAAATTTGCAAATTCTTAAAATTAAATATTATTACAACTCGCATGACAACAATTTACATGTGCACATATTTATTAGAGAAGGCGGAGTCTTTTTTTCTCTGCAGAAAAAACAATTTAGGAAGAAAAATTTATTAGAATTTTATTTTAATGAGAATGAAAGGAATTTTATTAAAAATTGTCTTTTAAAAGAACAATTCAATTCTCTCTTTTCCATTTATTTTTATGCTAGAACAAAGTGATCCTATAAGAAAGCTCATTAACTATTTAGTAATTTAAAATATATACTATATAGTTTTCCTCCTTTATTAAATAACAACATATCCTTAAACATTTTTCTCTAACAATAAAAATATGTGATGAAAGTAATAATTATTTGAAATTGCCTTTTATATTAAGAGAGCTCAGACAATACTTTGACACAAGAAGAAAAAATTATATATATTTCTGTATTTTATTTCAGTACAAGAATATGGCAGTAGAACTTGGATTTATTCATCGTTTAGAAACAATTTGTGTATCGTGCATGAAGAGGAAAAATCAATAATAAATAATTGAGGAAAATAAATTAGAAATAAAATTTTTTAAAGAGATTTGTTCCATACCAATCATACAACTATTTTAATTTAAGCATTGAAAAGCTACACATTAAGTAGAATATTATTTTCAAAAAGAACAAACACAGTTTTTTTTAATTTTATCTTTCAGAAAGTACGCACATTTTTCAAACGAACTTAATTATATTTGAAAAGACGCACCTCAGATGTAGTTTCCTCTTTTTTCCAATTTATTTTTATATTTTATTAATATTTATACAGCTTTAAGTGTGCAATGCTTAAAAATTGAATTCAATGTTTGCATTTACAATTGCCTCACGCTCATCCAAACTGGTTGGGGTGCCCAAGAAGTTTTCCTGGTTTTCTATACTGCGATATAGGAACAAAGGATTTTGTATGTACAGATGGAGGAAATTCACTAAATTTACATATTTATTATTTTTATAAAATTTTAAGCACTGCACGTGTATTTTCCTTTTTCTATGATTAAGGTGCAGTTTAGATAATAAATTATTTAAATGGAATTCATCGTAACAGATGTCTGCGAAAATTTTAAATGTTCCTTCTATATTTAATCTTCTGACCAGATAAACTCTTATGCCGTTTTCCCTCAAAAGGATTTATATGATACTTTAAGCTGTTGAAATAATCGAAATTCAGCACTTTTCTTTCACATGTAAATCACTCATTCTTCTTTTTTTTCTTTCTGCTCTTGGCTTTAAATATATATATATGGAACATCAATTCTCACGTAATTCCTTTGGAGACTACAGAGCTCTTCTGTGATGTAAGAATTAAAGAGATGTCTGAAAACTTTTGTTCAGACAAAATAAAATAAGTGTGAGAAATTAGTGGTATAAGTCTTGAAAGCTCAAATTTTGGAATCATTTCAACATTTTAAGAAGAGGGAGAGCAAGAGAAAAATTAACGTCACACTATTAAAAAACATGACATATATTGGTGACGGACCTCGTAATTTTAAACCCAGGTCAATCTGTGAGAGGTTTTCACCTCTTTGTTGGGCACATAGATATGTAGGAGGTAGGGAAGAAACACTAGTCATGATCCAATCAATCTTTTTATTTATCACGCAATAAAACAACACAAATTCAATTAATAATAGTAAGAGAATGTGGAACAACGACGATAATACACGAAAAATTAAAGAGACTATCAAACTCGATACTTACTTTATATAGAATCTAATCTATCATCCTATTTTGCCTAATATGAATTTAATCTCAGTGAATAATTGTCACTTTAAAGCTTCCTCCTAATAAGTCTTTAATCCCAATTATTCAAGTATGATACCTGTCAGTAACAAACTCACCTCTGATTCGGGTTTATCTCCTCTCCTACTCTCTGTTCTAACTAGGAAACTTCGACTCTATATAGTAACTAAATTTGAATATCACGATTTTCTTCCTCCGAAGGGTTGGTTGTGAATAACGCAAATCGATAGCCCAAAGATTTCCCAAGAGGATTAGTGGAAGGATCGTGAATAGATCCGTCACAAATCCATGAGGACGACACCTGAGCTGGCACTCTCTCTCCAAACCACCACACCGGGAGGACGAAACGGGACCACAAAAAATTTAACGTGCGTCATCCCCTCTACACGGTGGGTTTTCAGTGGCACCAGGACTCGAACTCCCACGACATGATCCCAACCCCTGTGCTACCGCAGCCACTAAAGAAAAGTGGGAAAATATGCCTATTTAATTAAAATGGCTTTGTTATTTTGTATAGTATTCAAATTAAATTATTCAACATAATTACGAGGCGTGTACGAAAGCTAAGTACCGTTTCGTTCTATTGCAAACGCAGCTGTAGGCTCGAAGTTCAACGCTTGTGCACACGTGTCTTTGGTAGATTGTCAGTCCAGTGATGTCATTAACACCGGACTGTGTTCTTTTTACACGTGTTAATGTGCGTTTAAAATGTTTAAAACGATTGCCGATCTCGTCGACTGTAAAGTGCGTTCTGTAATCCGTTTTTTTGAATGTAAGGAATGTTAAGCCACGGTTGAAATTCATCGTCAACTTGTAGAGAGCTATGGTGAAATTGTAATGAGTGATTAAATGGTGAGAGAGGGGATTCGATAATTCAATGATGGGCAAACCAATGTTCATTACGAAGTACGGAGTATATGATTTTTATTGTCAATGGTGGTTTGGTTGAAAAATTGATTGATAAAATTCGTGAAAACTGACGGTTTACAATAAGGTTACTTTGTAATGAGTTTCCACGTATTTCAAAAAATGATCACTGCGGCATCTTTCTTTGAAGAGGATAAAGCAGCATTTCTCAAGCTGTGGGGCGCGCCTATCTGGGGGCGTGATAACCCTAAAAGGTGGGTGCGAGTATATCGAAAAGCCGAAAACAAAAGATTGTTAGAAAAATTATTAATTTACTGAAAGGAAATAAAACAAAATACATTTTGACGTAATAAAAAATAAAATACACATTTACACTGATATAATGATAATTACCAGTGACCCTATGGGCATGTTATAAAATTATATACAAAATTCAATACTTATCTTGATAATTTGTACGGTTTATTATTAAGGTCGTATCGTAGTTTTACGTTAAAGTACATCATTATTCAATTCGGTACATTGTTATTGTATTGGGGGGGCGATGAAAATTTATAACTGATAGTTGGGTCGCAAGTGCAGAAGGTTTTAGAAGCACTGGGGTGAAGACAAGTTGGTTTCCTGATATGAAAATTGCCTGGTGGTAACTCTGTAGAAAACTAGTTTCCAATAAGCTGTTTTATGTAAAAATAAATTTTGTTTCAAAAAAGAATTTTTGTACGAGTTTTTACAAAGCGGTGCTTATAGTTTCCAAACACGTATTGTATTTGCAACCAAACCATTAACGAATCTCATGTATTTATTTTATTGTTGCTTAGTATGTAAATTCTGAATAATGATAAGTTTCCAATCATCCTCTTTTTCTTTTATAAGCTAATAATGAGGGGACGATGGGTTCGGAAAACGATTGCGATCACGAACGTAGTAGCTTGCGACGTTCTAATTGCAAACTAAGAGTCTTGACCTGTCTAAAGATCAGTCATGAGGAGTTATGAAGTCTAATTCTTACCATTAATCTTAAGGTATCCGACTACGTTCGAAACCGTGATTTTGCAAAAGCGCATAAATGGATAATTTTCATGATATTTAGTGTCACTTAGATTAGAATACATGTATACAATTCTTTCAAGGACATTTTGATAAAAAAAATTATTTAAATACAATATTTTGGCAAAAAATTAACTTAGAATAATTTTTCTTCAAAATGTTCTCCTTTTGTGAAAAATGCTTCTATTATAATATAATATTTTTTCTGTGTATAGCTCAGAGCTCTTTACAGAGGCTCAACTTTAATTTTTGAAAAATTCACATTATTTTCAGAGTTACAACCCATTGAAATAATTATCGGCGTTTTTTTCTTAAAATTGCTCCCCTCTGTTGTCGTAAAATATGGGGATAAACCGACTTCTAATTTATGTATTTCAAAAATTCTAGTTGAGACTCTGTAGAGAGGTCTGAGGCAAAATATTATTCTAATAGAAGCATTTTTCACAAAAGGAGAACATTTTGAAGAAAAATTATTCTAAGTTAATTTTTTGCCAAAATATTGTATTTAAATAATTTTTTTGTCAAAATGTCCTTGAAACAATTTTATACATGTAGTCTAATCTAAATGACACTAAATATCATGCAAATTATCCATTTATGCGCTTTTTTAAAATCACGGTTCCGAACGTAGTCGGACATCTTAATTGAACCTCTAAGTTCCCAAGTGGT